TAGTCTTTTATATGACAATTGGAAAGGGCTCCCAGGTTGTTAGGTTGCTTTAGAAAGCACATTCTTAATGCATACATTGAATTAATTTTAGTATTGAAATTGACATATTTAAAAATAATCATCCATGAACTAATTGAGTAAACTCCTTCAAAAGTGTGGGATGTCACTCTCATGCCCTAGGTCAGGATCGCTCTGTTTCTCAGTAGAAACTCTACTTGGATTTCCTTGCCTCTGGTTTTCAACATTTACGCTACGATGTGTCTGTAAGTAGATTTCATTTCATATGTCCTGCCTGCTTGGAATGAGTTGAGCTCTTTGAACACATGAATTTGAATCTTCTTCACTTTTCTCTCACTTGTTGCTATTTTATCTATTTTATGTAAATGCATGGTAACCATTCTCATTCTACCCACTGGGTCTCTCATGCTCATTTGCAAAGTTTCCATGCAATTTGTTTCTCCAGGCAGAACTTTGGACTGTTATTTGTAACATGTCTTCTGATTAATTGTTTTCTCAGTTGTGCTTAGCCTTCTGTTTAGCCCGGCCATTCAGCTCTCAAGTTTCATTGTTACTGGTTTGAGCTGTAATCCTTCTCTTCCATCCTTTTTCCAATTTTCTATAACACTGTTGGTCATTTCGTGTTCCCTGCAGATATTTTCAGGCTTCTTTTAAACCACAGCTATTGCAGTCTATGGAGTTGAAGTTGCAGACAGTTATAAGCCTCCTGACATGGCTCCTAGGAATTGGATTGAGGTCCTCTGCAAGAGAGGTGAGTGCCTTCAACCACTGATCCATCTCTCCAGCTGCACTTCATCGTTTCCTGTCTTACTGCCAAACTGTACCCTTCACTGTGGTGTGGAAGCACAGGGTGAGAATGCAGAACTGCTTTCCCTGGGACACGATCCCTCATCCAACCTTGACTTTTAAAAAGTAATTTATACATTTACTTTATTTTAGTATGCATATATGGTAGGTACATGAAATGGTGTATGTGTGAAGGCCAGAAAGACACTTTATGGGAGTTAGAGCTCTTACTCTGCCTTACCTTGTAATTTACAGCTCTTACTCTGCAAATTACAGGGATCAAAATTTAGGCTGTCAGATATAGTGGCAAGTCCCATTACCAATTGAGCTATCTCTCCAGGCTCAGCCCAAAGGCCAAACCAATTAATTGGTTTCAGATGTTAACTTCTCTGTGCTAGAACAATCTCCTAAACAAATCTACTCCTACCTGCTGGCAGTTGTCTGAATTTTCAGTCAAAGTGATGAACAATGTTTATGAGTACACTAATACACTGAGACAATATTCCAATCAGTACACATTGCAGTAATATGTATATAATTCTAGCTACATTTGGGGTCATATTTCATCTTATGACTCTGAAATTAAAAAAAAAAAAACACAAAACAAACATTACCTCTAAGGAAAGCAGAAGGGGGTCCTTTGGGATTTAAGGTCCTGAAATCAATCATTGACATCAACTTTTTGGCAATATCCATAGGGACAGAGACAACTAAGAACAAAAGAAGCCAGACCAATTAAGTGCCCTGCAGAAGTTGACTCCTGTGTGCTGGAAATATCTTCCAAACAAATATACTGCCACCTGCTGGCAGTTGTCTGAATTTTCAGTCAGCCTTAAATACAAGCTGTTCCACAAGCATGCAAACCTACAGATAGGGTTTCTACCTTGAATCTCTGCTACGATGTGGCGTTAGGTCAATTTCTCTTCTATCTCTGGACCTCAGTTTACCCATATTACGATACAGTTAATTACTCAAAAGGATATAGATTACTCCTACCTTTTGGCGAGAAACAGAAAATCTCTGTAAGGATGTCTGAATGATCAGGGATGGTGTGACAGGACTCACAATATAAGAGCAGGCTTAGCTGAGTTGTTCTAATACCTAATCATCAGTGACATGTGAATCCCATCATTCTTTTTTTCTTTCATGTCCATTCCCTGCAACAGTGGGGGGGGGAGAAAGGAAATATTTTAAAAGGGAGGGGGAACCTGAGAGTACTCTGCACTTTAAGAGAAGGAATGAAAACTATGAAGAGTAAAATATTCTGTTTCTAAAATGCCTTTTCAACCTGTTTTTTTTTTTTTTTTAGTTGTATCTTTGTGTGGCTTGGGTATCAAAGTAATTATAACCTCGTAAAAAGAGTTGGGCAATGTCCCTTCTGCTTCTATTGTGTGGAACAATTTGAGGAGTACTGGTATTAGCTCTTGTTTGACTATCTGGTAGAGTTTTGCGGTGAAGCCATCTGGCCCTGGGCTTGGTTTGGTTGGGAGACTTTTGATGACTGCTTCTATTTCATTAGGGGTTATAGGTCGATTTAAATTGCTTATCTGTTCTTGATTTAATTTTGGTAAGTGATATCACTCCAGAAAACTGTCCATTTCCTTTAGATTTTCTAATTTTGTGGAGCACACGTTTTCAAAGTATGAACTGATGATTCTCTGGATTTCCTCAGTGTCCGTTGGTATACCCCCACTTTCATTTCTGGTTTTGTTAATTAGCATGCTCCCTCGCTGCCTTTTGGTTAGTTTGGATAAAGGTTTGTCTATCTTCTTGATCTTCTCAACCAACTCTTTGTTTCATTGATTCTTTGTAATATTTTCCTAGTTTCTCCTTTATTGATTTCAGCCCTCAGATTGATTATTTCCTGGCGTCTACCCCTCCATAGTGAGTTTGCTTCTTTTTGTTCTAAAGCTTTCAGTTGTTCTGTCAATTTTCTAGTGTGACTATTCTCCAGTTTCTTCATGTGGGCACTTAGTGCTATGAACTTTCCTCTTAGCACTGCTTTCAGAGTGTCCCATAAGTTTGGGTATGTTGTGTCTACATTCTCATTAATTTCTAGGAAGTCTTCACAGGTCCAAGGAGAGATCTGGCACTAGGGAGATTTCCAGAGATCTACAAGGATAACACCAACTGACAATCGAGGCAATGGTGGAGAGGCTTCTCTAAATGCCCTTCCCCTATAATGATACTGATGACTACTTTATATGCCACCCTAGAGCCTTCATCCAGTGGCTGATGGAAGCAGAGGCAGACACCCACAGCTATAAACTGAACTGAAATCTTGAACCTAGTTGCAGAGAGGGAGGAAGGAAGAGCAAAGGGGTCCGTACCAGGCTGGTGAAACCCACAGAAACAGATGGCCTGAACAAGGGGGAGCACACGGACCCCAGATTGATGCCTGGGAGGCCAGCACCGGACTGATCCAGACCCCTGAACATGGATGTCAATGAGGAGGCCTCTGCACTCTAGGGGGGCTGGTAGTGAATTAGTATTTTTCCCTGGTGTAAGAAGGGACTTTGAGAGCCCATCCCACATGAAGGGATGCTCTCTCAGCATGTACACATTGGGGAGAGCCTAGGCCCTGTCCAGGATGATGTGGTGGACTTTGGGAAGCCCCCATGGAGGGCCTTACTCTCCCTGGGGAGCGGAGGGGAGATGGGGTGGGGGGTGGTAGGGGGTTAGGGAGAGGAAAGGAAGAGGGAGAAAGGATTGACATGAAAAACAAGCTTGTTCCTAATTGGAACTAATAAAAATGCCTTTTCAAAAAGAGAGTAAAGAGTTAAATTTGCTAGTGTGCAAGACATTGAGCAAACCATGAGAGTGAGGCTTTTCTGAGCTCAAGAAATCTAAAGTTCTGCCTTTAGCCACTGAGGGAAAGCAGACAGGGTGTGTTTCTATGTGAGTGTGCCTACTTAATGAAAACTGGACTTGAGACCCATTTTACTTCTGCCCTCCTCTATGGTGTGACTTGGGAGATGCAATGCTAGTGAACATGATTGCACCCCTTTTGTTATCACTTGGCACGAGGGCTCTTGTGATGACTCTTTTTGAACTAGTTCTGTCATGGACCAAGCTGAGACACAGGGGATAGTGTGAAGTCACTCCATAGCCTCCAAGACCCTTTTCCTCCAGGGAGGGGAAACAATAAAAGCCCCCTAACAAAAATCCTGGACTTTTCCATGAGATGGCGTTTGAACTCTGGTGCACATCTAAAACACTGGCTTTTACCTTCTTTTCCCCTTCAACAGTGTCAGCCTGGATCCTATCTTCAACTCTGCATTTCCTGTCACAGCAATGAACCACACCTTAGTAAGACCCTAGCTGGTTAATACTTTCCGCTCCCTGGATTTGTTTTTCCTGAGAACTCAAAGTTGAGGAGAATAACCCTCTGGAAAATTAGACTGCAAGAAGACAATTTTCATTCTCTGTGGTCAAAGCCCTGCAGTAAGACGTCTTGGTAAGAGATATCTTCAAGTCAAGTAAAAAACGGAGAGCATTGGGTTAAGCAATTGAGTTACTCGAGTATCAATG